TTAGGAGTCCTGCTGTGGCGCTGTGGGTTAGTGCGCCAGACTGCAAAACCATTTGAACTGTATGGCCGGCGGTTCAAGCTCACCAGCTGCTCCTTGTAAACCCTATACTGGGTCGCTATGGGTCAGAATCGATTCGACAGCACTTTACAACAACAACAACAACAGAGATTAAGTAGTTTTCTGATTTATAAAACCTTATTCAGGTGGGTGGACAGGAGAAAGGACAGCCAGCAAGGCTTGAAGCTGTGGCTTAAGAAGACCACCGGAGCTGGTCTTTCTCTCCCTCTGTTCTAGGTCTCCTAGCGCACCTCTTCACTCAGCTCCGAATGCGCCTCGCCAGTCTGTCCCGTGCGCACCTCTGCTTCCTCTGCCCAGCCCTTGGCCGCCGCCTTGTACAGCTGCACGCCGCCCTTAGCTCCCTGACGGCTCGCAGTCGCCACGCAACACAGGCTCTGACCAGCGACACTACAGCGAGGCGGTAGCAGAGAGCGAGGACGACCCCAACTTCTTGAAGATGGTGGAGGGTTCCTTCGACCGCCGCGCCAGCATCGTGGAGGACAAGCTGGTGGTGGACTTCAGAACCCCGGAAAGCGAGGACCAAAAGTGGAACCAGGTGCGCGGCATCCTGTGGATCATCAAGCCCTGCAACCATGTGCTGGACCTCTCCTTTCCCATTCGGCAGGACAATGGCTCCTGGGAAGTCATAGTGGGCTAACCAGGTCCAGCACAGCCAGCACCGCACACCCTGCAAGGGAGGTATCCGTTACAGCATAGGTGTGAGTGTAGATGGAGTTAAAGCTCTAGCTTCGCTGATGACATATAAATGTGCAGTCGTAGATGTACCATTTGGGGGTGCTAAAGCTGGTGTGACGATCAATCCCAAGAACTACACTGATAATGAATTGGAAAAGATTACAAGAAAGTTCACTATAGAGCTAGCAAAGAAGGGCTTTATTAGTCCTTGCCTTGATGTACCTGCCCCTGACATGAACACGGGCGCACAGGAGATGTCCTGGATGGCTGACACGTGTGTCAGCACCCTAGGGCACTATGATCTGAATGCACATACCTGCGTTACTGGTAAGCCCATCAGTCAAGGCAGTATCCATGGACACATCTCTGCTAATGGCCGTGGTGATTTCCATGGGATTGAAAACTTCATTAATGAAGCGTCTTACATGAACATTTTAGGAATGATACCATGCATAGTTCAGGGATAACACATTTCTTGTTCAGGGATTTGGTATTGTGGGCCTGTACTCTATGAGATACTTACGTTGCTTTGGTGCTAAGTGGTGCTGGAGAATCTGATGGGAGCATGTGGAATCCAGATGATATTGATCCAAAGGGACTGGGAGACTTCAAACTGCAACATGGTTCCATCCTGGGCTTCCCTAAAGCAAAGCTCTATGAAGGAAGCATCAGGGAAGTAGACTACAACGTACTGATCCCAGCGGCCAGTGAGAAGCAGCTGACCAATCCAGTGCACCCAGAGTCAAAGCCAAGATCATTGCTGAAGGTGCCAATGGACTGACAACTTCAGAAGCTGATAAGATTTTCCTGGAGAAAGAATATGATAGTAATTCCTGATCTCTACTTGAACGTTGAAGGAGCGACACTCTCTTACTTTGAATGGCTAAAGAATCTCAGTCATGTCAGCCATGGCTGTCTGACCTTCAACTATGAAAGGGACTCTAACTACTACCTGCTCATGTCTGTTCAAGAGAGGTTAGGAAGAAAATTTGGAAAGCATGGTGGCATGATTCCCATTGTTCCCACAACAGAGTTCCCACAACAAGCAAGCTATTCACTGGAAAGCCATCAAGGCAAGCAATCAAGTCTCTTCAGGACAAACTCCCCTCCAAGACTGAAACTCAGAGGGAACACACAGCAGGCATGTCAGTGACAGGATATCGGGTGCATCTGAGAAAGACATTATGTTCTCTGGCTTAGCTTACACTGTGGAGTATTCTGTTCCCAAATCATGCACACAGCCATGACGTATAACCTGGTGTTGTATCTGAGAACTGCTGCTTATGTCAATGCCATTGAAAATGTCTTCAAGGTATACAGTGAAGCTGGTGTGACCTTCACATAGATGCACCACAGCTGGCTTCTCCACTACCCTCTCCATCTGTAACTTCTGCAAACCTATCACAAGTTTACATGTAACCACAGAAATCTCTCTTTCATGACTAATCAGATACTGAACACCATTCTCAGCATGTCGATCCAAATCAGTCCTATAAAAAGAAATGAATGTTAAGTAATCATACACCAATGGATGAGTGTGAAAGTAGACCTCACCCATGCCATAGGGCCATTTGTGATACTGTGCCTTTAAATAAAAAGTCTCTTCCATCTGGCTTTGATTCCCTGTTCTATAGCTGCATCCCAACTTTTTAATAACTGTTGTTTGGCATGAGAACCTGTTGTTGTTCAAGCACAGCCCTGTGACTTGCATTCTTTGATTCTGGACAAGTCTGAGATGGGCTGTCACTTTGACACATTTATGAAGTAGACTCATGGCATTTTCAGAAGATGGCATGGTCTTAAAGTGAGTTGTTGATGTTCACATTCGCAGAAGAACTCAATTTTGCAAGTTGCAAACAAAGAAAATGTGTATTTTTATTTATTTTAGTCTCACAGAACAAAATAATCATATATTGCTCGAATAACATTGCCTTGAATCACTTAACAAGCCTAACTTGACTCAAGCAGAGAATGCCTATAAGCATAAATGAAAAAGCTAGTATTTTACTAAAACAGTATCATTTATAGTTTATCAGTTGTGTATTGTTGTCCAGCAAAAATCAATCCAGAAAGAAAATCAAGTTATCTTCATAACTGCAGATGAGGAAGGCTATTTTTGTTACTACTGTCTACATTTACTGACTATAATTAGGACACATAGCCCAAAGAATGCAGCCACCTCCTTATCATGTTAATTTTTTAAAAGAATGTATCATGTTAGCTAGGGCATCTCAGAAATATAAATATTCGTTCTCCCTGTTTGGAGTCTTGCTGGTGACTCTGAACATTGTCAGTGACCCCTAATTTCTCAGCTTTGTGTCCCTCTTCTCTTAGAGGCATCACTGCTGGCGTCAGCACACACAGACCCTGGGTTGATCAGTGGCCCTGTGACATGGTTAAAAATCCAATTCCCAGGCCCTCCTCAGGATAGCGAGCCATGGACCCTGAGGGCCAAAGGAAGTGACCTCCTGACGTCCCGGGTTCATTGGTTTTTGCTAACTCACTAGTTGGCTACCTCTGTATAATTTTCTTTGGTCCTAATATTGTTCATTCTATGCTT